AGTGATTAAGGGGGGGTTTGGGGGGGGGGGGGGGGCTCTGCAGCCTCAGGGTGCGTGGAAGCAGCTCTGGCCCCCACCAGTTCATTGGAGCCGGTATGCCTCCCCCATTGAGGGTCAGGCTTACCGGTTAACTGGTGAACCATTCACATCGCTGAAGGATGCTTGATTTGGGCTTGTTCAGTCTGCAGAAGAGAAGAGTGAGGGGGGGATTTGAGAGCAGCCTGCAACTTCCTGAAGGGGGGTTCCGAAGAGGCTGTTCTCAGTAGTGACATATGGCAGATTCATTGGAGCCGGTATGCCTCCCCCATTGAGGGTCAGGCTTACCGGTTAACTGGTGAACCATTCACATCGCTGAAGGATGCTTGATTTGGGCTTGTTCAGTCTGCAGAAGAGAAGAGTGAGGGGGGGATTTGAGAGCAGCCTGCAACTTCCTGAAGGGGGGTTCCGAAGAGGCTGTTCTCAGTAGTGACATATGGCAGAACAAGGAGCAATGGGCTCAAATTGCAGTAGGGGAGGTCTAGGTTGAATATTAGGAAAAACTATTTCCCTAGGCGGGTGAGGAAGCCCTGGGATGGGTTCCCTAGGGAGGGGGTGGAATCTCCATCCCTGGAGGTTTTTGAGTCCCTGTAGGGGTAAACTGAGGCAGTCCACGGTATTTCGCTAAGAAACCGTAAGCTATCCTAAATTCGGGGTAGGCCTGGGAATGCACAGCACAAGCAGCCAGCATGCCCCTGGTCGCCCTGGCAACCACGTTCCAAGAGGGCCTCACTCCGATAAGCCCCTGGCTGGTGCCAAAACAAACTTCCCGGAAGTCGTTCTCCCGGTCTCCTTTAATCCTAGATAAGCCTGTGACCCAAGGACTCCGCCAACGCGCGGCCGTACCATCTCGCAGGAGACGCATCATAATTTCAACCAAGTTGCCATTAAAATGCTTGTCTTGTGTATGTTGGCTTTATTTCGCTCGTTAGGGATAACTCCCTGTATTATTGATGAGATGTTTAATTGGCAATGGGCGGAGATGCTGTGTAACCTTCATAGTTTATTGGCTCATGAGCTCATTACATCTTGCCGCCAGACCCTATCAAATCGCTTCCACTCCGCCCATCTGTTGCCTATATCGTCGATGGTAATGTTTTCATTAACTAGTGTTCACCAGGTTAACCCCTGAGGAGCACTCCACCAGCTGTGTGCAACAAATCCTCTGCGTGTTTTCACCTGCATCCAGAGTGTCCAAAATTATTCCCTCCAGTCCCAGCTTGACCAAGCCCTGGCTGGGATGATGGAGTTGGGTTGGTCTTGCCTTGGACCCGATGACTCCTGAGGTCTCTACCAGCCCTGGGATTCTGTGACCCCTAACAGGACATTCTGAGTGTTCGGTGTTTACACTAGGTGTGTCTCCACACCATGACATGGCTGGGGTCTGGGACCTGCCTCCTGGGCTAAGCCCCACTGCACTGGTGAAAAGCCTCCCTTGCCTCCAGCCCCCGTAGCCCCAGAGGCAGGCTTTGGCTGGGAACAGGGACTCTGGATTGCGGGATCTTTGGGACAGTTCCGTGTTTCTCCAGCACCTCGTGCGATGGGGCCGTGCGGCTGGAATGATAACATCCCAGCACACGGTGCAGAGCAGGGCAGAACCAGTTTCTCCCCAGATTTCTGGAAACAGGGTTCAAAACAGACCTAGATAAATTCCCGGAGGTTAGGCCCATCAATGGGTAAGGTAGGGACGGTGGCCCTAGCCTGGGTTTGTCGGAGGCTGGGAATGGGCGACAGGAGAGGGATCACTTGATGATTCCCTGTTCTGTTCACTCCCTCTGGGGTATCTGGCATTGGCCACTGTCGGCAGACAGGACAGTGGACTAGATGGACCTTTGGTCTGACCCATACACACCCATGGATCAGCCTAGCCTCCCTCCTCCCACTCTCAGCAGTGTTAGCTGCATTTTACCGAAGGGAAACTGAGGCACAAGAGCAGGTGGTGAGTTGCCAAACGTCATACAGTAGGTTGGTAGCAAAACTGGGTGTGGCCATGGTCCCCAAACATTGAGTCTGTCCTCTAACTACTAGACCTCGCTTCCTCTCGTGTATTCCTCTCCCCGTATGCCGGGACTGTAGCTACACCTAGGCCTGGTGTTCTAGTCCTCATTGGAAAGGGAAAGTAACCCCTCTCCAGCGAGGTGACTCTCTCCGCCACACGGTACCAGTTTGGCTTTGGGGAGCTGAGTCTCCGAGGGTTGGCCGGGTTAATCCGTTTCAGCACAAACCGCGAGGAGTCCGGTGGCACCTTACAGATTTATTTGGGCCTCGGCTTTCGTGG